TTGCCTGCAATGGGCACAGCAGGGCTGTGATTCAGCCTTCTCTCTCCCTAGGAAACAAAGCTGAGCGCCAAGGTGTTTCTGCAAGGGAAGGCGCTGCGCGTGCAGCTGGACCTGCGACGGTAGGGCCTGTGCTGCGGTCCTGCGGAGGCCGTGGGAAAGGTCCCCTCTGTGCCCCACTCACGGCTGCTTTCTCCTCTGCAGGTTTCGCATCTACTCCAAGCAGTCTGCACTGGAGTCGCTAGCGGTGAGCAGACCCATGCCAGCCCGGGGGGTCCAGCCTCCCTTGCCATCCCCCAGCCACAGCACGCAGCAGGCTCGGGGAGGGGCTGCACATCGCAGGACACCCCTTCTAGCCCACCCAGTGCTAAGTGCAGGCATGCCCTGCCCAGGCTGGCAGGTCTGCTGCTTCTGCTGGTGTGCTCACCCGCACTTCTCTCTCCCCAGCTGTTCTCACTGCAGGCCCCACTGAAGACCCTGCTGCAGCTGACAATCATGCCCATCATTAACGGTAGGCACCACCACTGCCTGCACACAGCCGGGCTTGGGGCAGGGGCACAGTGGGACTCAACTTCACTGCATCTCTCCCTCCCTGCAGAGAGGACTAAAAAGGGGGTGCAGATCCCACTGCCAGAAGGCATGGACTTCACCAAGGAGGTGGTCACCAACCATGCGGTATGCAGCAGGATAGGGACAGCCCGGGCCCCCCCAGTGGGCACAGGGACCATGTCCTGCTGGGGCAGGGTGCAGTCACACCCAGCCTTGCACTAATCCTCTTCCCCTTTGCAGGGATTCATCACAGTGGGAGCTGATCTCCACTTCTCCAAGGGGCTGCGGGAGGTGATTGAGAAATACCGCCCAGCACCTACCGCCCCCGCCTACCCCAGCTCAAGGCCTGCAGAGCCCAGCATGGACCCTCGCCAGCTCTAGCCCTTCTCCCCACTGGCTCCTTCACCCTGGACCAAGGGCAGATCCCGGGCTGGACCCGTAGACTGTAGATAGGAACCAGCTTCCCCAGTACTACTGGCACGTCCTGCAGGGCGCCCAAGCCCTGGTGGGTAGCAGCAAGGCGGAGATGGCTGCTCTGGGAACCCTGGCTGCACCCCTTTCTCATTACACTAATAAACCACTCGACTCCAATCCACGTGGCCTCATTGCTTGGAGAATGTGCCCACACCAAACCACACGTGGGGCGAGATGGGGAAGGAGGCAGACAGTGCTGCTCCCCCAGCTCAGGTACTCGGGAGGCAGACACAGCTCAGAACAGTGGCAGAGGGGCTCAGAGCAACTGCGCTTCCCCTGCTCTTGCGGGTGGCTTGTTTCCACGCCTCAGTGACCCTCTGCAGAGAGGGGGGCACAGACCACAGACCTTGGCTCTCCGCACGGCACATCAGCACTCACCTCTGCTGGATCCTTGGCGTGTAGTGGTACTCCTCAGAGAGCAAAGGAAAGCAAAGCACGGGATAGCAAAGCTGTGCGAGGAGCTGGGCAATGAGGAGCAGAACCGCCTTGTTCAGAGAGTTTATTGCGGGTTCCCAGAAGCACTGCGTGCCCCAGGCGGTGAGTGGACAGTGGGATTGTCTTCACGGTAAGCCTCCTCACTGGGATCAGATGTGGGAGCGGTTTGGAGGGGAGCAGGAAGTCCCTGCAGGAGCAGCGCCCAGCTGCCCGCAGCCGCCACGTTAACTGTGCTTTCCTAGCAGGGGGCAGCTGCCTCAGAGCCTGCCCAGGGCTGTGTGTGTGCAGGGGCCACAGGCCAGAGGGGAAGTGGTGGGGACTGCTCCCTTCTCAGGAGGGAAGTAGCTGCCTCCCCAGACAGGTTTTTTTTTTCGAACCAGAAAGCCACAAGCGAGGAGGCAGCTGCAGCAGGGGCACAACTCCTCACCCAGCAAGGACAGAGCCCCTGGGACTCCTTGGCACCCAGCCCGTGCCCCCCACCCACCGCAAGCAGCCCCATCCTCCACCCTGTCCAGCCGGGCGCCGTCCTGCAGGGCTGGGCAGAGCCCCTGGGCTGGAGTAGGGAGCCTCGCCGTTTGCAGGAGTGACTCATTTCATGGCACAGGGAGCCCGGGCACAGCTGAGCAGCAGCGAGGACGGGCTGTGCGGGAGGTGCCGGGTGGTGAGGGCAGCCGGGGCACCAGGGAGCCTCCACAGCTCCTAGTAAGGCTCATT